CTAGAGAAGAGAAGGCTTCAGGGAGACCTTATTGCAGCCTATCAGTACTTAAAGGGGGCTTATAAAAAAGATGGCGGCAAACTTTTTAGGCAGGGCCTGTTGCGACAGGACAAGGGGGAATGGCTTTAAACTAAAGGGGGGTAGATTTAGACTAGATAGAAGGAAGAAATTTTTTATGCTGAGGGCAGTGAAACACTGGAACAGGCTTCCCAGAGAGGTGGTAGATGCCCCATCCCTGGAAACATTCAAGATCAGGTTGGACAGGGCTCTGAGCAACCTGATCTAGTTGAAGATGTCCCTGCGCATGGCAGGGAGGGTGGACTAGATGACCTTTAGAGGTTCCTTCCAACCCAAACTATTCTATGATTTTATGGTGGTATCAAAAGCAGAATTGGAAGAACAGAATTAAAAAGGTAAGGGAAAAAAATTTTTAGTGAAGGCCTCCTCATCACTGGAGTCACTTTTAAATGACTGCAGGGCAATCAATGCATTCAAAAGTATTGGGAACTGTCCTGCTTTGGCAGTGCGGTTGAGCTGACTGAATACCACTGGTCACTCAATTTCTTGAAGAACATTTATGATTTTTTCTTAATCTCTTCCTTTCTCTCTTTCTCTTCCTTCCTTTCTCTCTCTCCCTTCCTCCCTTTTCCTCTCTTCCTTCCTCTCTCCCCCTCTCCCTCTCTTTCCTTTCTTCCTTCCTCTCTTCCTGTCTCCCTTTTTGTCTCTTCCTTCCTCCCTCTTCCTTTCTCTCCCCCTCTCCCTCTCCTCCTTCGCCTCTCTCCCCTTCCCTCCCTCTCCCTCTATCTGATCTGTATCATTTCCCTTTCAAATAGACCAAAGCACTGATTCCCTCTTGCTCTTCCTCTTGGTCCAGATACTTTGACAGACACCTTCTCAACGTAAATTCCTCCAACCTTTTAAAAACTATGGGTTTTGTTGGTTGTGGTGGGTTTGGGATTTTTCACCCCCACTTGGCATACTGGGAGCTCACAGCTATCCAAAATCTGTCCCCCACTGCTACTATTTCCCTCCATGGAAAAAAATTACTTCCTTCTACTATGCAATTTCCTTTAGCTGTGAGATTAAAACATAAATCTTCAGACTCTGTCTTTTACACAAAACAAAACTAATGAATTTACTTTAAACACTGTAATAACAGTGTGTTAAAAAAAAAAAAATGCTAGAAATTATTGCTCCCTGCCAGTTTGGCCTTGATTGTTTCTAAAAGCTATGGAGTATACATATAACTAAAGATTTTTCTAAATAGCCCAGGTTGACATGACTTTTCAGAGAAGTTCATGGAAGTTTTCCTTGATAAAGTGTCAGCAGCTATCGGAGACTTTTTTTTGTGTGCTGGTAATGGAAAAGTAATCTGTTACCAGCTGCATTAAAAAACCCAGCACAAATAAATAAAATAAAAATTTCAAGAATCTGCTGTTTACCATCCTCCTTATCTGCCAGTATATACGTTAGACAGTCTCATCAGCAGAAACATATGATGGCCAGAATATACAGAATTCTTTGTAGCCAAATTTAGGATTAGATGCGCAAATTCAGGCCTTGCTTAGTTCTGACTGAATTGAAAGAACACCTTTTCACTGATTCTATTGCATTTTGCCTCAAGAAATTAAGCATCACTTTAAGAGTCTGATCAAGGACCCAGTAGGGAAGACAGTAACTTGAACAGGGTGTTGATGATTCTGCCATTTGATATTTAAGAAATTGAATGTAAATCACTTACAGTATTAAATTGTTAAATTCTATGTAGCATACTGGTTTCTTAAGAAGTGATTAATGCCTTAGAGTCTACAGCAATCTTTTAAACATGCACACTCTTGGTCATAAACTCACCGTGCTGGGGGAAAACTACCAATAAAACCGGAGGTTTTCCTTTTTCTCTTATCCTGCCTATGTTCTGATGGTTGCTTCTGGAAGTAACTAACAAGAAGATAAATTTGGTATAAATAGAACTAGTTATTTTTTCCACAAAAGTCCTCCATACCAGTTCTGGAATAGCAGATTAACAAGTATTTAAATATACCCAAATAGATGAAGCAAATCAAGTATGCCCGCATTAATGCTCTGGCATTGATATTCTTGGACATATGTGACGGTGTGCTCCCCCGCCCAACCTGACCTTTATCTCCTGTAACCCTGCTCAAGCGATAACTACCAGGGCAGTCGTTAATGGATGCTGATGGTGATAGCTTCATCCATTAACGAAGTGGATTAAGGAGTCAGATAACAACACAATAGCCCTTGGTTACTGTGAGAAATAAGCCCATCTAACCACAGTGATCAGTATGTAAATATGACTATGAGTCAATCATCTTACCCCTATAAATAGTGAGCAGCCCAAGAGCCCTTTGAGCTCTCCTGCACGCACGCCACGATCTCCCCTTGAGTAGGGACGCCTGTCAAGGTTATTCCTCGAGGTTGAGAGATTCTTTGCCGCGACAGATCCTGGGTAAGTGACTAATAGCATGCTAAAAACTTTGAAATTAGCTAAGTGGTATAAAGGATCGATTGTCCTTTAGATACAGTCCTTTAGACATAAACCGTTGACCAAGTCTGGGACTAGGATTGGATCCAGCTGCACCTAGACTCCTCTCTGAGAAGGAGTTTAGAAAGCAAGGGGGTCCTTTCTGAACCTCATGAGTCAACAGGAGGGTCTCCCTGACAGTTTCATCTGACCCTGTCCTCTATGCAGTAAATAATCAAGTGTACCTTGCCATCGAATCTTGTTCACTGTCACATTTACCATTGAACTTTGTTAATTCATGCTTTAACTCACTGTTTTCTATCAATAAAGTATTGTTGCTTCTCTTATGAGTGACGTGCAGTCTCACTCCATCCGCGACAACATATCAAAGCATTTTTCCACATACCAGTTCCTTCCCACGCTTGGATGGCAGGACTGCATCTATCACAATGAGTACCTATTCTAAATGGAATTTTCTAGATATTAATTTAATAGAAATTAGTATTGCAGCTATAAATATCTTTAAAAGATGTGCAGATATGTAATATATATATCACTATGTATGCAATAAATACTTGTCTCCATTGATGTGACGTGCAATGAAGAAAATAATTGTTCTAATGATAAATGAAAGACACAAAAAATACACAAAGAATAGAATGAAGGGGATGAAACTAGGCAACTAACATTCAAATTTCAGAAAGGCTAAAAACTTGTTTGAAAGTATCTAAAAATGGGAAGACAATTAATAAACATACACATAGAGAAAAACCACAAATATTACTTTATTTCTTATATCGTATTTAACCAGTATTATTTAGCAAATATCTAAAATGCAAGTCCAAAAATAAAAAGAGCACTTTAATTCCATTATTTTATCAAATTTAACTTGGAACAGTAAAGGCAATTTTACAAAAAAAATCTCATCAACCCAAAAAGTAATTATGTAAGAGCTAAATAAGATCATCAGCCATAAAGGAAAGCTGGAGTAGGAGGCAAGGGTGGAACATTCATTACCCTTCATATTCATGCACATATGGGGCTCACATAGCAAAAGGATTATGATTGCTCTCAAGTTCAAGACAGAAACAATTTTAAAAGGTGCAGCACAATTGTTAGGAACTGAAGATCAGGCAGCAATCAGCCATAAATGGTGTAGTCTGGCAACTAATCTATTTTAAGTAATGAGGGAAGTTATCATAGAATATAAGGTAAGGTGCATGTTTTAGGAGGATTCATTTGAGAAGTTAGGCACACTATAGAATTTCAGCATTAAAGACAGTAACAGTAGCTTTGTTATTAGACACAGTCTATAACTTTTTACTGACACAAAAAAATACAGTTTTATACTGTATTGGCCCAGTCATTGAAGACAACACATGCATCTCAGTTACCGCAAGTTTTTGTTAGCTGTGACAACAGAAAAGGTAAGGAGCAAAAACTATTTCACAGGGGAATCCTGTAAACTCAGGAGGAGTACTAAAACCAGTCCTCAAAATACACCCAATATTAGTCACGGGACCAATAAAGTGATCATTAAACTACTGATAAGGTTGCAGCTGCAAAACCTCAGCTTTACTGAGGGACAGCACCCATATTTAAAGTTTCTAGAGAGGCAGGAGAGGACCCCTCTGACTCATAAGTGGTCTAGTCCAGTTGTCCTATGAGTATTTCTCCAAATTTTTGGAGCCCCTTCTGTTAGAGAGATATACATGTGTGTGCAGTCATGCACATGCAAATATCCATGCTTATGCACTGGGAAGGTGGAACACAGAGACTCGTCAGGACTTTTTCTTAGAGTACAGCGTCGTAGAAATAGTATAAAAAATACTTGTATTTTATCTTGGGACAAGTTTCCTATCCCATCACAGATTTGTGTCAAACAAAGTTTCTGCTTCAGAGAAGCAACAATTTTGGGTTTTTTTTAATGTTCGAGACCTTTGGAAATTTGAAATTTCTGATCACATAATCATTCTGATCACTAAGCCTTCCTGCTTACAA